GTGGCGGAGGCTGGGGCCGCGTTGGCGCCGCCGCGCTCCGCCCCCGGGGGCAGGTGCGGGCGGGAGGGACCCGCCCAGAGGCCTCGGCTAGGGAGCCGGTGCACCGAGGCAGGCAGGGAAGACGGGACCCGGCCAAGCCAGACGCGGAGGCTGCGGGGACGGCGAGGGGCGCGGGGACCAGCTGGAGGCTCGGGCCAGGCCTGGGGAAGGCGTGCCGGGAACCTGCCCCTAACGGGCCGTGGGAAGGTGCCCAGAAGAGAGCTCTCGGACCTGTTTCCTATGCGGTCCGAGAACTTGGCGGCCGCGCTTGGGCCGGAGAGTGGGCTTTCTCTTTGCGAGCTGCACGGGTTTCCGAGGCTGTGGAGGGTCTTCGCCTGAGTCGCCATCTTCACCGCCTGTCCGGAGAAACCGGGGTTCACCTGTCCCACAGCCTGCTGTCTCGTGTCGTTTTCGGGAGCTTTAACTCCCCGCCCAATTTCTCTCTGCAACACCAACTTTGTCAGGGGATAGGTTATCTTTGGGAACACTGGGAGCTCTAGAAGATACCTGGACTCCAAGATTTCCCAACTGCGATTGTGCCTGGGCCTTTGTTCCAGCCAGTGGCCTTCACCAGCTCGCCTTTTTCCCCTCTAAGTATCCATGTCTTGCCAACCCTTCAAGACTTGGATTGAAGCCTGCATTCTACGAGAAGCCACCCTTGGCTGTCCTGGCAGTCGTCCTTCCCACCTCTGACCACGCTAGCTAGTACCCTGGGATCTCTGGGTTGGATGCTGTCGTTGGCGCCATCCTGCACGCTGCTTTAACCTTTGCGTAGTCGGGCTGGTCTCCCGAGCGAGGCCGAGACCTGGTCCACGCAGGGTCCACCCCGACTGTCTTGTAGCCCCGAAAGGCGCCCAGCTGGATGGGCCGTTTACCAGTTTCGGCTTGAATCTGATGGCATCAAAACCTACCCTCTGGCGCCTAAATTGCATCTTTAGATTGATAGCAGTCGTTAAATTTAATCTGTGCATCCTATCGAGTCCTCATTCAAAGTCTGTATAATTGGAGCCCCCCCACCCCCATTTTCTGATGAGTGACGGGTTTCCTTTCTTATTCTCGTTTTGCCTGCGACTGAGGTTGGAGTGAGATTTGAACACCTTCTTGGTGCGCTGGAAACATCACTGAAAATGGAGGAGGAGGGGCAGGTCTTAGTTTTTTTGTTGAGCTGGAATGAGAACACTTTACCTTTTTGACCACTAATTTCTTCAACTAAAACTAAAAGGCTTGAACTAGGTAATTTCAAAGCCTCCCTTATTGCTGGCAGTGGGGAGGCTGGGGGGAGAGGGGAAGCTATGATTATTTGGATACAGAACAATGAAAAGTGCCCACTAGGCTTCATTCTATGTGGTAGACAATCCTTCAGATATTTGCATACCTCTGACTTCTTCACTCCACGTTAATCCACTTGATCCTTCTGTCAGTGGCTCTCAAACATTAGAATCACCTAAGAACTAAGAACAAAAATACCCAGGCCTCATTGGTCTGCTAGAGATTCTGACACCACAGGTGATACAGCTGGTCTAGGTTGGGACCTTGGCTTGGGGACTTTTTTAAAGTCCTGTTACAAGAGTCATCTGGGAAGCTTTCCTTTCTTCCTTCCTTCCTTCCTCCCTCCCTTCCTTCCTTCTTTCCTTCCTCCCTCCCTTCTTACCTTCCTTCCTGTAAATGCAGATTTCTCAGTAGTTTTCCCAGAGATCCTGATTCAGTAGATGTGGGGTCTGGCTGGGAATCTGTGTCTGAATACCTGTCCCTGGCCCACGCAGAGATTCTGATGTAGATTGTGCCAGACCCACCCCTTGAGAGTCTCACTGCTACTCTCTACAATGTGGACTGACTAGCTCAGACCTTTCACCTACACACACTCAGATCTGCTGCAGACCCTCATTAAAGGAGTGAGTCTCATTGTTCTTTGCTTTCCTCCATTGATTCTCTGGTCGTCAATAGCTGAGATTCTGTATTACTAACAATGCAGATGCTGCTGTTCTGAAGACCACACTTTGAGTGGATCTAGGAGTTATTATTCACAAGATAAATATATTTTCTTTTGTATTCCAACTGCCCTGTTTCAATAGGCCACTACTGTCTCCTCCGGAAAGATTTCTCTAACTCTGGCTCACCCTTGCGTGCCCCTTTTTCTAAGTGCAAGTGTTTAATAATTTACTACTTATTTCCTGTGTAGGGGCAGGGGTGTGGTTCTTGCCTGATCCCCACGCACCTACCTGCCAAGGACACACAGAGTGTTCCCCCAAACAATCCCTGCTGACTGACTGGAAGAGAATATTAGCTTACATTCTTGGAGGACACTCAGTGTGCCAGGCAGCTTGCTAAGTGTTTTACAGGCTTTCTCTCCCTCACTCAGATACTGTTGTTGTGTGCTGTTCCTATATGACAGAGTAGAATTGCCCCATAGGGTTTCCTAGGCTGTAATCTTTATGGGAGCAGATCACCGGGTCTTTTCTCCCTCCCAGCGGCTGGTGTGCTTAACCATTGCACCACGAGGGCTCTGACCGTCCGCATTTATAGATGACGAAACCTAGACAAGTCTCCGGATGTTAACGTCTGTATAGCTCCACAGCCCACAGCGATACTGCCCCCTAGGGGGTATTTTGGAAATTTGCAGGTATTTTATCTGGCTATAATGATGGGAAAGGAGCCCTCGTGGCACCGTGGTTAAAGCGCTCAGCTGCTAACCAAAAGGTTGGCAGTTCAAACCCACCAGCTGCTCCAAAGGGGAGAAAGACGTGGCAGTCTGCTTCAGTAAAGACTTACAGACTTGGAAACCCTATGGGGGTCACTATGAGTCAGGATTGACTGAACCGCAGTGGGTTTTGGTAATAATGGGAAGGAGCCCTGGTGGTGCAATGGTTAAACGTTCGACTGCTAATCGAAAGGTTGATGGTTTGAACCCACCAGCCACTCAGTGGGAGAAAGACCTGGCGATCTGCTCCTGTAAAGATTACAGCCTTGGAAACCCTATGGGGCAGTTCTGCTCTGTCCTATAGGGTCCCTATGAGTCAGAATCGACTCCATGGCCCACAGCAACAATGATGGGAGAAGGTGGCCACTGGCATTTAGTGGAGAGGCGGTCAGAGACTCAGGAGGTCCTGGTGCCAGAACTGTCCAACACAATAAAGATTGTTGTGTCCCATGTGGATTTCACATGTCAGACTGAATGAACATTCAGGTCAGTTAGAATGGTGCTTCTAATGACATTAGAAACTTAACTCTGTTTTACATAGAAACATAAGATATTGTTGCACCATTTGAATATCTGCTGCATTTTCTAGAAATATAACTACTGTTTAATCTAGGAAAGATGGCACTTTGTTCACTGTATTGGAAAATCGGGACACTGAGGGCAGTTCTACTCATGGCCTCTTGAGTCAGCAATCAACACGTCTGCACCCATCACAGGTATAACCGCCATAGGCCAGGTAATTCCTTACATATATATGGGTATATTTATTTAGCTCTTACTTCAAAATGTTAAAGAAAAAGTGTCACTAATATTCCAGAGCCTTGTCATAACCAAAACCAGATCAGTCGCCGTCGAGTCAATTCCGACTTATAGCAACTCTGTAGGACACAGTAGAACTGCTCCCGTAGGGTTTCCAAGGCTTTAATCTTTATGGAAGCAGGCTGCTACATCTTTCTCCCAAGGAGCGGCTGGAGGGTTCAAACTGCCGACCTTTCGGTTAGCAGCCAAGCGCTTAACCACTGAGGCACCAGAGCACCACCCTTGTCATACTGCTCTTAAATTATAAATAAAAAATCAAACCATTTGCCATAGCCTCAACTTCAACTCATGGCGAAACTATGTGTGTCAGAGTACAACTGTGCTCCACAGGGTTCTTTGTTTCTTGTTTGTTTGTTTTTTTTATTGCTACTGTAAAAATATACTATATTTTTACACAAATAACAGGAGCCTTCTATGTTTGTTTGCCAACCACTCCTGTCCTCCTCCCCCCTAGATATTTTCATACACGTGTTATTCTTAAAGAAAAGCATAGCGCACTTAGGGAAATACCTGGCCGGGGGGGTTGGGGGAGTGGTTGGCAAACAAATGTAGAAGACAAGCATTATTTATGTAAAAACACAGCATTTGCCAGTTCAACATTTTTCACATGTACAATTCAGTGACACCAGTTCATACAGTTTTCAGTGGTTGAATTTTCAGAAGTAGATCACCAGGCCTTTCTTTAGAGGTGTCTCTGGGTGGAAACCCTGGTGGCTTAGTGGTTAAGAGTTTGGCTGTTAAGCTGCTAACCAAAAGGTTGGCAGTTTGAATCTACCAGGTGCTTCTTGGAAACCCTACGGGGCAGTTCTACCCTGTCTATAGGGTTGCTATAAGTTGGAATCGACTTGATGGCAGTAGGTTTTTTTTTGGTTTGCTGGGTGAGCTCAAACCTTAACCTTTTGGTTAGCAGCTCAGTGCATTGACCCAGGGACTCCCTTAAATTATAAGTAGGTGCATAACTTCTTTCCAACTTCTGATGCATTGGGACTGAGCATTTATAAAAACAAATACATATTTAGTTATGTATTACTTTACTTTTATTCCTCTATTATAATTAGGTCATTATACTGATCTTTTTAATTATGAGTGTAGGTAGTGTGCATGAATTCCATTTTATTGTCACAATAGTG